ATTATTATTTCAATTATTAAACTGTTTTTATCTCAACCCATGAGTTTTTCTCACTTGTGCTCTTCCAATTCTCTCCCCCATCCCACCAGGGGGGGAGTGAGCGAGCGGCTGTGTGGTGCTCAGTTGCCAACTGAGGTTAAACCACAACACTCACGTATATTCTCCAGCTGGCCTACTGTTTTAAATAAGTCTGTTCCCCTCCTATTAACTGTAGCTGTGCACAAGATTAAAATTTTCATTCTCTTCTTGTACACCACCCTTTCCATTCATCCCATCTTATTCATTGCCTGTCTCTGGATCTTTCCCATTTTAAAAAGAAAACACTTGCTAAAAGTGGAACAGGGGTACTGTAAATAAGTCACTATAGAATGCATAATAATATCATTCTGTTCTTCTGAGACTTGAAACATCAATAAAATGTTAAAATTATCACTGGGCAGTGAAAATATTCCCTGGCTATGTTGTCTACAGCAGTAACTGTATTTCTCTTCAGATTGCTTTAGTTATCTTATGATACCCAAACAATAAAGACTGTTCTGAGCATTACTTATTCCCATGATTATAATACCAAAAATCAACCTTTTTTTACTTCTTATACTGACATTCTTTTGACTCTAGGCATACATGGTGACTAGTCCAAGCTGGTACAAATTTCAGCTCATCCTTGTTTTAATCAGCATTTGGAGGATACCATTTACACCTTTGGGGCCTTATTAACTTCTTATTAATCTGATACTACACTGAGATGCCAAATTTTTGCTTGAATGCTGAATCTGTGCCAAACCATGCTGCTTTCCATTCTTGTTGAAACTGAGATAGCCTGCTTTGTTAGAGAAATTTTCACAGACAGCAAATACACTGCTAGTGTGGGTAGGACAGCTTTACAATGTGTCCTAATGCCATAAGCACTATCATTTTCAGATACTGTCTTCACCTTAACTACAAATTTTCCCGTGTGATACATCAACGTGTATGGCAATTCCAGCAGGGCTGCTGGATGACCGCTTTGACATGGGTTTTGCCAAGTCCACGTATTACTGAAAGCAGTATGAAAGCTCAGTACAGCTGTGTTTTTGTATTGCTGAACACTTCCCGGCTTGCACGTTCCAACCTTCACACTAAGAGCTGTGTAGTCTCAGGCCACCTCAGACGATATCCTTGGTCTCTTTCTGATCGGCTTCCTTGGCACTAACCTCCCCCCACTTCTTACCTTAACTATTCCCTCGTCAGACTTGCCTTTAGTGAGAGACCTTGGTTTAGGATTCACCCATTTTCCACTGCGTAAAACAACAAGCACTTTTGCGCTGTTTTCTGCCTCGGTGTCTGCAGAGCAGGGACAAAACCCTTCAGAGGTGCTTCCTCGGTCACCTTGCTCAGCTCTGACCTCTCCTTCAGGCACCAGGTCCCCTCCTCTTCCTCCCTTTTGTCCCTCTCTCTATCTTTGTGGTTTCTCACAGCTGTGTGAATACCTTTATAAAGCTCTCTGTTCCCATCCTGGAGATGCTCCTCTGCTCAGATCCTAGCGCTTTGCACACACATTTGAGCAATTTGTTTCCCTCAAAGCTGCCGCCTTCCTTCCTTCCCTGCTTGGGCTGAACATTTGCTGCCATTGATGGTATGTAGTTTTTGCTCTTTTCAGAGGCAGATGTTTGGACACGGCCCCCGCAACACCTCATGATAAGCAGGCAGCAAAAATGCAATAGAAACAGAGCTAAAAATCACACGGAGCACGCAGGCAGGGGTTACGGTGGTGGTGACTGAGCACGGGCTGAACGCACCGCCAGCCCGAGCGGCTCGCAC